AGCTGCAGTTCAAACTCTACTAATGACCTATGACTTGTTTGGAAAAGGGAATAAAGAGTTACTATATTTTAGTTTGAAAGATGCTTTACAATTACTCTATACTGTAAGACAGTATCTAAGAATGAATATGTGTGTATTGCTAGTTTTTTAAAACCTGTTAAATGTGTTATCATTAAAGGCAGCCTGTAGGTCCCAAATCCAGTGCTCACATCACAGCCAAATCACCAGACCAGGCTCTAAGCTTTGATTTTATCACATCTGTATACATTGCCTAGAGCAACAAAGTCCTGGGCTCATGGCTTTTCTAATTAGAGGATGTAATTCCTCTAATTGGACAAATTTATATCATTGAAAAATGACTTATATGTCTACAGCTTGTTTCCCTATGGCTGTTGTTTGTGCTCACCAGGGAACTTGTCCTGTCACAGGTATTTTAGTAGAGTCACACATCTCTTTGCTGCTGCTACAATTTTCAGGCATGGTTGGCAATGCAGTAATGTCTCACATATATTAGGAGCTGGCAGAGTAAGCTGAAAAATGAGACAACCACTAAAAACATGATTTAATATTTAAAAATGAATAAATAATAACCTCATGCTATTTGTGCCAATCTTGTGGCTTACAAAATTCTGGACCTGATGATCTTACCAACAGCAGGCTGGTTAAAACACCATGGAGCTGGTGCATTAACAGTCTCAGTAAGAAGCCCATGTGCATGGAATTCATTTCCCTCTTGACTGGATGAAGCTTGGGGCACTGAGATAGTACTGGTTTACTTTTGGTTTGAGGAGGTGGACAAGGTTTTTGGGAGACGACTCTCTTTCAAGTTTGAATTGGCACCTGTAATGTTTGTGAAGATTGCACATGCTGTCACAACACTGGTCACTCTCAAATGTATGACTTCTTCAGCTTGACTGGGCTGTGAGTATAACATCGGCTACAAAAACTGATGGCCTCTTCTGATGTTTTTTAGCTCTATATTCACTACAAAGGAAGACAAACTCAGTTGCTTGGGCAATATTATAGTTAAACTTGCCTAGCTTGAATTATTATATAGATAACTGACTCATTAGTCCCACATACACACCTACTAACACCCTAGTCTGTGCAGGATTGAAATCGTATAGAATTGTGGTTTTGAAGACTGGGAATGTACAGATGCACTAAGAACTAAGCATTGAACCATTTTGACATTTTTTCTCAAGACTGCCTACTCAGAAGAGAGTCCAAGACTGGTGATCCCTGCTTTCTTTTATAGGTCATTTCACCCATAGTCAGATTCCAGTCTTCTTCCCCTTTCACACTCATTCACCTTGATTAAGTACTACCTAATCCAAGCAAGAAGAGAGACAGTCCCTCCTTCCATAAAACACTGGTCATGGCTTCCTGCTTTGGAGCCGCCCGCAGTCCTTGAGCCAGCTGGAAGAGTTTCATGTATCCAGACAGAAGTGAATGCTACTCCCATGTTTGCCTTTCTCTTTAATGAGTTGTTCACTGAGTAGGAAGTACAAGGCCCTTTCCTGCTGGCCAGGAAAATACTCAGCCTCAGAGTGAAACCTTTTTATAAGTAATCTTCATTTTTACCTAAACTTAATAAAAAAAAGCTAATTTTCTTGCTGTCCCAAAGGATGCCCCCATGCTATCAGGCCTCCTCAGTCCTGCCAGTGGTATCTCTGAAGGATTCTGTGGTATGGTAGCAAACAATAGCTCACCTTACAATTTTCCTTACTGGTTATTATTATCAACACAACATAACTTTTAAATCACAAAGAAAACAATCATTCTGACAAATACATTTACACTTTTGTTAGGTAAGGACAGTCCATCCAAATGTGTCTAGAAGTCACTGCAACCTACTTAATTAGACAGGAAATCTAAAAACTGAAACTACTGTATAAATTTTCAAGTAATGTTTTATTTTGGGGTGCTCTTATCAGCAGTGCACATGGACAGAAAAAGATGCACAAAGCAGAATAGTTTCTGCATACATAACACTTACATCTGACTACCTAGCAATATATTGCTGACCTGTAAGTAGAGTAGGATCCTTGCAAATCTGTGCGAGAGGTTTCAGGACACAACTTTTGTGCATTCACATATGCAGAAGCCTACAAATCTGCACCATCATTGGTATATGTTTTAAATATAGCTATGACTTTATGCAAACTGCGGATTGCATGAGGACCAGAGTCCTCAGCTGAGAAGTGTCATTTATTTAGCTGAATCAGCCAAGATGAGAGAAATGTTCAAATGTTCAAATTTACTGTAAGTGTATCTAGACAGAGATATATTTATTTTACTTTTGTATCCATGAATTCCTTTATACACTTTTGTGTATTTTGGATCTATTTCTTAAACAAAGACTTTGCATTTATCTTAAACTGTTTTGGATTAAGGTTGATTTAAATTAAATTAGGTGCCTTCCACTTAGAGACACAGCAATCTGTAACACAGGGACCGGACCATTCATACAGAGCTCACCTCTCTTCTACACTTGTCCAAACCTACAGCACCCTGACTGCATTTGTGTAACAGCCTAACAGTATTCTAGCAAACTCAAACTGTCAAATGTCTTTTGGCATAAACAGGATTCTGATATGTTTTGTGATGCTGTTTGTTTAGTGTTTTATATTGAAATCCGTTCCAGTGAAGTCTTCGTGATATAAAAAAGCCCAGAGGAGTGTCAGTACATTTCTTAAAAATGACACCTTTAAAATCTTTCAAAGAGAGAGCAAAAGAGAGTAGGGAAGGAAGGCAACAAGTACCCAGTAAGACAGTAAAAAGAAAAGGTTGTACTAATGTCAAACCAACATCTACTTCTAAGCTATAGCCCCATTCTCATACTTATCCTATCAACACCAATGGAAATGCAGATCGGTGATTACCCAAGGGTACTACCATTTTCCAGCAGAAATAGCTGTTGCATTTATTCAATCTTTTGGAAATAATCCATGGAGTTTGCAAAATTTTACGGTTTATTGCTACCAAGGTCACAGTAACATGGGTTTTCTTTTGCAATCCATCAGGAGAATCAGAAAGACAACATATATCATAGAGAGTATTGCAACATTAACCCAATACAACAGTCCGTGGAGATAGCATTCAGTGCTGTTCATTGTAGCTTTATGGCAATGAGCCTTGAGACTGGTCTTCCAAATCATGCTTGTATACTGAAGTATGTGAAAGTCATATTGTTTCCAGTGAAACAACATAGTACATACAGACTTGGCAGATTCCTGACCTCTAAGGTTTTTGACAGCCTCCCAAATTTAGGACTGAGAATGTCAGACTGACCCTGCATTTGGCAAGAATAATTGAAGCCCTGGTTTTATCAAACTCTGCTTCAAGTCAGATCTCATTTCCATTAAGAAAAATTCTCTGATTTTGTAATATTAATGTAATATTTGCACTTGTAAACAAGGAGAAAATATAACTGTCCCTAATTTAATTTACTGTGTTGGATTTGGAGAGTCAGAGAGGCTCATACATCATAAAAGGAAAAATAAAATTAAATTTGTGGTGCTTGTATATGCTAATATTTCTTACCTGTCAGAATACTGCAAATCAAAAGAAAAAAATGAGGGTATTGAGCATGTAATAAAGTTCTGTGTTCAGTTGTTTGTCCTGTATCACTCTTATTGCAAATGCTAAAATGAAGTTGTTGACTCTGCTATTTAAATCGGAAAAAATGTTAACAGCTTAATGCTATTGTGAACCTGGCAGTATCTGGTATAATACCTAAATCTTTAAAAGTTTGCAATGGAGGGTTTAATTGATACTCCTGAAATCCACATTCTTTTTTTCTCTCATTTTCTGACCTCATTTCTGAGTCAGAGACAGAGAGGGTGGAGTATAATAATTCTACCCAGGCCATTTGAGCAGGCAAGAAGCCCAAGAAAAATGATTTTTCCATACACTAACATTAATAAGTAGTGGAATACTAAAGTTATTTTGCAAAAATTCAATTAGTATTTTGAACTTCACATTGTATAAGTTAAATAGTTGTTTCTCAAGGCCCTTGCAGTATGGCTTCTTCTTGTAAATTATACTGATTTTTGTTTTTAGGCCACCCAGTGTATAATTTTCTTTCACATTTTCTTTATATGTATTCTTTGATTTCACAGTGAGTGTTACAAAATGATATACAGTTTTTACATGGAGATCACCCAGGTGATGTCAACATGCACTTTTTTCAGTAAGCTCAAAACAAATGCATGCGATTTGTTAATATCGAGATACCTTGATAAGGCTCTTGAGGGTTTGTTCCTCTCCACACCCTACATGGTACAACCTCCATGTTAGTGTCCTTCCGTGGGGAAAGACCAGTACACAAGTGTTCCTCTAGCATTCACAACTCATCTGCATCCAGCTGTAATATTTTGTAGCAAGACAGTTCTGATAGCCAATTTAATAGAATCAGCCCCCCCAAAAAAAAGAGCGCCCATTTTTTGGACTGTATTTAACATCTCTGTTAGCCTACACTCAGGCCAAATAGCTAACTCTTAAAAAAAGTCCTAGCTCTGTTTCCTACATCTAGAAATCAGTTTTACAGTGACTTCTGAGATCTCACATATGCCAAGAGGGGACTACGAGTGACACCTGATGCTCCAATGCACCGACTCCAGAGCAAGAAAACTCTGCTGACCACCACGTCTTGCCTTCCTCAGGGTAAATCCTTTCCAGAAGCCAGCTGTACTCAAATTGATCAAGAGCCTCTCCAGCCCACTTTTATCCACATTTGGATTCAGGTGGAACAGGAATACAGCAATGCTCATACAGGCTTTACCAAGAGCTGGGGCAGACTCCCAACAAAAAAGAAAGACTCCAAGATGGCAGCAAGTATGAATTCGCAATGGGTATTTACCTTTTGCACTGCAAATAAAACATCCTATCAGGCCTTTCCAATATAAACGTGATCCAGTTTATTGTACAAGACATTACTGCACATTTTTTCAAACTTCAAATGAAAAACGTGAAGAAAATAAAATGGTATTTCTTACCTTCGACGGAACATTTCTGCAAATATGCAGCCAACACTCCAAAGATCAACTGGTGTTGCATAGCTGGACTGAAGCAAAACTTCAGGAGCTCTATACCACAAAGTAACAACCTGTAAAACAAAAAGGAACACAAGAGAGAGCATGCTTAGCTACAGAATTACAACCTCATAAGTGTTGTTTATACCGCTCCCATTTGATTTGATCCATATTGTAAAACCTCACAGATTAGGGCAAACTGGTTTGGTCAGTGCATAGAAAAGGGTCCTGAATAGAAATTCTCAGTATGGGTAGCTACAGTGATGGTAAGTCGGGAAGTGAGACCACTTCTTGTCAAGAACAGTGCAGTTCAGAGTACAACAAAAATACATTACCAGAGTACAGCGTTGATGTGATACCACAATATCACAGCACACTACCAGAACAACTGTTTGAAGCTTTTGCAATTTACAGACCCCACACACTTTCCCGTGGAGCTTTGTACTCTCTGTAGAGCAAATGTTAGTCTATTGAATAAGGCCTCCTTTTCTTAAACAACTTTTGTGGACCCCTTAGGTATAGTCACCAGTGCCAAACTGGAAACAAAGTATGGAATACTGTGGATTTACCCATAGGACAAATCAGAACCTGTAGCCCTTATCTGTCCTAAGCCCTTCATAGTTTATGTGTTATTTTTTGTAAAAGAAATGGGGTTATCTCAAGTGTATGGGCCAGCCTGAGTAAATGTCTGACCTACCTCAAAAGTTCTGTCTGAAGAAACTGAAAAAATTATAACTTATTTTTTTATCAGTTGGATACAGATTAAGTCAAACTGTCCCCAAAGCTGTCCCTTACCAAAGGCATTCAGTGCTGTCCACTGTGGTTTCCTCGCACACAGAGGTACCTTAAATGGTCAGTTTTCAACAAAGCAACACACCACAGCGATCCTTGGCAGATTCCTGACCTTTATAGCTGTGTCACTGTCTCTGCCCATGAGCTGCTCGTTAGACCAGCACTAACTTCTCTCACAATTTATTTCCAAATGATACACTCTTTCCCAGGGACATATGCCATGTAAAGTGTCTGCTTTTAGGCTGTTGTTGTCCAGGAGGTCACGTTGCAACATGTTGTAGAGACTCGGTAGGCATTTTACTGACACTGCTCCATCAATGTACTTTGATGAATCCTGCATGCTGGACCCACAACAGAGATGAGACAGTTTATATTTATCCTTTTTTTCCCCGCAAGTAGACCAAACACAGATGAGGCTGACTGTATCTTCAGTGTATTTATAGAAGAACATAAGGAGCTTCTTCAGAGTCCTGCGTGAGTTATTATGTTGCTAGAATACAATCTCAGAGCCACGGGAGTATCCTGCTCTTGAATACAGTTATCATCCAGCCATAACAACACATGATCATCAGCTAAATACCAATATTTTCTTAGTGTGTGCTATAATTTAAACCTCTGACTATTAATCTGGGGGCAGGGAGGGTCTCAACAATTTTTCCAACAAACACAAAGGTGGGAGATGCAGCATTCAGGAGGAGCATGAAACAAAGCAAAAAAGAAACAAGTGCAAAGATAAGAATGAAAATAACTTTTATAATTATGTTAACTAGGATAGTGAGTTCTGAATTTCAACACCAGTGCAAAGAAATGTGTAAGTAGAGTGGTTTTTTTAATGATAATACATAATTGTCTTCTAAACCAAAATAACAATGGAAGTAATCAGCCAAATTTGCTGGTCAAAGCCAGATGAAACAAAAGCAAATACAACATTTATTACAATCATTACATGCCCTGACAGCCTTTGGAACTACTGAATGGCTACTGAAGGGAGGTTCACGGATATTTGCACAAGTGGTCATATTTGCTAACAGTCCTCTTAAACACTTTGATCTGTATTCATAAAATTTGTCTTTGAAACAGTTCAATAACAGAGCGCAAAGTACTGCACTTGGCAAGCTAGACTTCCAGATACCTGTCCACAGAAACAGATTCCTGTGTGTAAGTTGGACATTATTTGACTCCATTTGTCTTGTTCCTTATTTGGTACCATACCAGAGATGTTTTTCCAAAATATTTCCCTCTACAAAAACCAGAAAAGTTTCTTCAGAGATTCACTCCAGTGAAAGAAGGCAAGAGATCAGGGATTTTTACTGGAGCTGCCCTATCTGAGCCAGATAGAATTCCTCCTAAAACACATACATATTTCTCCTGATGCAGATATACTTCTCAAATTGAACTGCACTTTTGTTCTCTCAGTACATTGTGAAAAAGCTTATTGAAGAAATGTTGCTTTGAGAAATTAGATATAACAATTTCAACCCATTATTTTTTGTCAATGGCCGGGCACAGTGTCGGGAGCAAGAGCTGTGATACCTCCAATCTGCAGGAATACCACCAAACCTCACGATGCCTCGTTTCAGATCCACACGGCTCTTCTCAGACAGAGTGAAAAAGTGCCTTTATTTTCCCCAATCCACCGCCCTGCCACATTAAGGCTCTGTACTCCCATAGGCAAAGGACTGGGGGATGCATGGTTGTGAGACAGTTTAAATACTTCTGACAACGTACGCCCCAAACTGAAGTCCCTTTTCCAGGGAAATGTGGCACAGGACAGCTGCTCCTCTCCCCTCCCTGCGATGAGGAGCATCGCAGCTCATGGCCAGTCCCGAGTGCTCACTCAGGGAGAACTGTGCTGTTCTCAGAAGGCTGCAGAAGCATGCAGCACGTTAGCTGCTTCTCCCACGTGACCACTTACTGGCACAGTTCCCCAAGCACTTGCACCCTGCTATGCTCCATGTATGCGTACACAGGGGACTGGGAGATTTTACTTCTGAGTAATTTGGAAACTTAAACTTTTAAAAAAAATTATTTCCAAAGTCTACAGTTAAATTCCAGCAAATGCCCGATTGCTTTATAGTCAGAGAGGAAGTAATCTGTGTTGAGCTGTTTTGATATACTCTGTCATTACTGTATAATTATAAAAGTGACCATGTAACCTTTATGGTTTGTAGTATGCAAGTCTGTGTTTCAAAATGTGAACCTGAAAGGGATCAGAACGTATCAAATGTCAGTTTGAACACAAGTAATGCCACAGATTACTCCTCTAGTGGTCATGGTCTTCTCCTGAAAAGTACAGGATGATGCAGATGATGCAGTGGTTTTGACACAGAGTTTCACACTCTCTTTTTCTTACCATAGAAATGAAGAAAATATTTGTGGACATTCCATTCATGTTTGCAGATAAGTAGAAATGAAAATTATTCTGAACACAGGATATGGTGAGGCTGAACAACTAGATCATCACTTCCTCTTTAGCATGATTCTGACTTAGAGTGGAAAAATGCTTTGCTTAGGTAAGCCACACCACCAGTGAGACAGGCTCTCCCTGAGAGATAGAGCACTCGATAAAGAACTGCTTGATAAAGTCCCATTTTTAGGATGAAAAAAGCAAGCACCTGCATCAGTACATTTCATTTAAATTCTGTCTCTCCTGAAGATCTCAAACACATGTCATGTGGCACATTGTGATTGCTCTGTAGGAAAAGGGGTTCACGCTCACATGCTGATGGAGATCCTAAATTCAGTGCAAGACTCCTAAATACTTTGGAGGTTGTAGGCTTTAGTGACCATGTTGCATTTCAGTCCTCTCAGCTAATGAACTTCCCTCCTTGGCCTCCTTCTCACTTCTCCTCACCCTGCCTGGTCTCTTTAGCTCCTCTCTTACACCAGCCAGGTTTCTCCCAACTGTCCCCCAACCTCCTAGCTCCTCTTCCCTGCCTCTGCCTTTCTGTCACATGCCAGTGGCCCCCCTGACAGTGTCACCAAACATGCCTGACCCCCTGCTGCTGATGTGCAAACACCCGAGTGGACACAACCTGCTGTCCCCATGCATCCCATGTGCTCTGCTTTCCCTCATGTTCCCTGTCTGCTCCCTTGCACCCTCAAACTCCCCCGAATTTCACACCCTGTCCCCTCTTCTTCCAACTGCCTCCAAATGCTCCTGGGCCAAATTAGCTCCTCCTCCCCCTTTAGCTTCTTGGCCCACTCTGCCTGTCCTGAGGATACGCTATGACATTGGTATTTCGTAGATTAAGCTGCATATGAAAAGATTGAGAATAATTCATACACTGGAAAGCATATGTACCTAAAGGAGTAACTATGCTCCTTTTACAGTGCACATTTTATGTTTCCATTACCCAGATAAGATGGGATGATATCAGATAAGAACGATATCAGTAGCTGCAGATCACTGCCTCTAACAATTTAAGTGTCAAAAAATTTAGGCAGTGCTTCAGGATGAAAAGAAATGAAATGTGCCTCTGAGAGGCATTAGAAAGGAAAAGAACATCTGCAAAAGCCTACAGAGGCTGTGTCTGATGTCCTACAGAAGAAAATGTGTTCAGTGAGAATAAAGGGGAGAGCTGCGTCTAGAGTCAGAAGAAGATATAGATGTTTTGAAATACAGCTTTCCGCTTTATTATACCTAACAGATGTTGCTATCTGGGACCATCTAGCCCCAGGAGTTTCAATCCTGCACTTCATGGTACCTGTTTCTGATGAAAAATCAAATTAGTGGTAAGTATCTGCTCACTAGCAATGTGAACACAAGATCTAGGCATTGTGTCAGTCTCATTTAATTTCCATTTACTTTACTGAGCAGATTTTCACTTTTGGATAACTGCTTAATTTAAATGGATCTGCACAATACACAGCCCCTTCCAAATATAGTTGCTGTCTGAAAAGCATACAGTTCAAAAAAACCAAAGACAAACAGAGGTTTAGGGATGGGGTTGAGTAACATAGACACAAAAGACTACATTTCGGTTTGCCACAGACTTTAAGTACAGACTAATGCCCAGTTGCACAGCTACAGGAACAAAGCAGGGATCAGACTGTAACACAGTGGCTATGTCTGTGCTAGGAAATTAAATGGGACAGGAAATGTTCCTTTGGCACTGAGACCAACAGGCACAGAGTGGCCTATGTCCATATTATTAAATTCTCAGCCTCCCAAAAAAGGTGACCACATGCAAACTGCTTATTGGGAATGGTCTTTGGTCCATGCTTTACTGTGCCTAGGAACTGTCTGGGGAAAGGCTGGTTGGCATAACTCAAAACCATG